AGTGTCGGTATTGTTACGTAATCACGTCAAAAAATAGATTACACGTTGTCAAAAGATATCCATGATCGACTGTATAAAAATAAACATTATCATATACTTAGTAACCACATATTTTTCAAAAGAAAATAAGATCACTTGAAAAAAATTATATAAAAATATTTATAGCCACGTTGCTCATGAACACCACAAAGGAAATAATTCAACTAAAGCACCATTGAGTATATTATTAGGCCACCATGACTTTATAAACCCATGTCACGATTTAATCATCGAACACTTCGATTGGAGATAAGTTAAAGAATCAGATCAAGAACAAAGGCGCAACACAATCATTCGTTCTATCAATAGACGAAAGAAGTCACACGCAACACATAGTTGTAGAGAAGCCGCAGCAAGTCGGTCGTCTGGTCATGGTTGGACAGTAGAATAGAGCGGTTTCGCAGCGCGACAAGGCGCCTCTTTACGCCTACGAGAACGCGTTCTACATGATCTGATTTTCTCAACTCTGCGAGCAGGAAAAGTGTCTTATAGTCAGGTTCAATTATTCTTTAAGATTTTTGGTATTTGTGGAAAAAACGATATCTTTAACGATAGTTAAAAAAAATCAAAGTGCAAAATGGTTAAAATGAATGATTGCAAGTAATCGATTGCATCGTCATGATTGGTAGCTTGAATATGGCCGAATAGCCATGACTTGCCTCTTAACTCCTGTCTTCTTGATTATGAGGTGCTTCAAACTGTTGGCCTACCTTTTCCATCTCCTCTTTTCTTGTTACCGGAACGTTATCAAGGCTTTTCTTTATTTCTCTTGTATTTTTATAAAATCACTTTATGACGGATATTGTTTGATTTGAACGCTCATAATTATCGTCATTTTTAATTGATCTTAATTCAAAATGATTGTGGAGTCTTAATGTTTGAGGCTGATTCTGAATTATATTTGACCACTTGCTCACCACAGTAATATTAAAAATAATATTATATTGAACATGAATCCTAATAAAAAAAAACAATCGAAGTAAAAAAAAGTGATAAAAAATTTAGAATGCAGTTGAGAAAAGAAAATTTAGAATGCAGTTTTAGTGTAGCGTCTTGAATAAGATAGCTTCGTTCGATTGTTTCGAGTAGTATCAGTTTTGTAATATAAGTCGTTAATCATTCAATTAAATTCTTGAAACATGCAATGACATTTTTGCGAAAACGTTTATAAAGTGAACATAATTTCTCTTTAGCAAACTTTATAAAAATCCCGCGATAGATAAGACAATGAATAGAATAATCTTGCTGGAAATAGCAATAGGTTTATCAAGACCATAAATCAAGTAAAGAAATGAATGATAACGTATTACATTTTTAGCATATCAAGCATCCAAAAAAATAGTTTAGTGAAATATTTTGTTGCGTAAAGAATTTTGATTGAATGACTCAAGTCAGATTAAATATGAAATTGTCAAAAATAAAAGATGCGTGTTTGAAATTACTGTGTCAATAACTTATTAATTTAAACTAGGGGAAAAAACAAACACTAATCTAAGAGTGATCATTTTTTTTACGTCATACCATTTAATAATTACAATTTAAATTATATATATTTATATATATATTTATATTTATATAATTATATATATGTCTTACACGTACGGTGCTCTAAGTTAAGTAGATGGAGTAAGGTAGGTATTTTTTAAAATTTAGACTATTACGTATATTACATGGAATGAAATAACATTTCGATCGAAAAAAAAGAAAACGCAACGTACGCACGGGCAACCGTAATACTCTTGAGTTTTAATCTTATATATCGTGAGCGTGGGATGATGTATAGACATTATTTTTACTAGTCCCATTATGACACGTGCACTCGCACGATCTCAAAGGTCAAAAGTAAAAAGTATATAACACAAATATATGTGAAACACATGGAAACTGAGAAACCCGGAGATTGAAAGCTTGTGTACACAATAAAAATTCGCTGCAAGTCGAATCGATATACAAGATAGCGCCGCTTTTTTCTCTTCGCCATTATCTTCATCTTCATTTATATATATATTTTTTCGATTTTTTAAATTTTATTCGCAAATTGTGTTTGGTTAGGTACGAACAGATACGTGTTTATGACACGTGACGTGAACAACAAAGAAAAATAATCATAACGAAACAAACAAAATACAATATTAACACTGGATCAAGTCATTCATAGTATAACAGGCTCACTTTCCCCATCTAATCAAGGATAAAGATACTTTTGTTTACTTCTCAAAGTCGATGCATATAAGAATCATATCGTCGTCCTCCGTTTTAAATACAAACTACTGGTGAAACCAAGCGTCGAAGGAAGTATCATCTTCTTTTTTATATATAAGTCTCCTCTCGATCTCGTATATGATTAATACGAAAAAGAAATTTATCAAGAAGTTCTGTATGTCGTATACGTTTCTTGACGCAATATGCAATCGTGTTCACTTATGGACTAATAATAAAGTTCCTCCGACGCTCGTCACAATTATTAATAATATAACATCATCGAATATCGCATATATTTCATAATTATGTACAAATCAGCATTTTCTCTTCGCTTCGTCGTCGGTGTCGCGCGTCTCTCCCCTGCACTTTTTATTGTTTATTGAGAAATATTATGATCTGATCACCTATACATACACACACATACAGACGCTAAGTTTAATCAACCATTTTGTTTGTTACAAGAAGATTAAAAGAGACCCCTGTATTCTTCCGAATTTGCTTATCTCGCATGACCTACTCGCTTCCTCTCTCACGGCTCTCGCATTATTTATGACTAAAATGATAATACCTCGTTTATACTTTCTCTCGTTCTCCTTGTAATCTCTTGCGCGCATGGAGCGTATCACAATATGCGTTTTCATACAAACGCATTCGTATACAATATCATTTATTTCGCGCGCGCGAGCGTTTTTCATTACGAGCAGACGAGGCAGAGAACACGCACACCTGTTTAGCCTTACACGTTCTTTTGCTCGCTGACCAAGACGACTTTTTTCCTTGCAAGCTGTAATATAAATTAATTAATATAACACGAGCAGTCTTCTTACAGAGTCTTACAAGCGTGCAGTTTTTCTCTTTGGAAATATTTCAACTACATCGGCGCTCATCTGCACGACATCTGCATAACAATGCAACGACCTTGTACTAACTGCTCTAGAAAGTGAAAACGCGTTTTCGGTTAGCACATATACCGGGGCCAACTGTTTACCTAGTGAGCAACAGATGCACGGCATTCCGTGATGAAACAAAGCGCGCATGGCTCGAACTTGAGAAAGGCGAAAAAAAGATAGGAAAAACAGAGTGGTGCACGCACGAATGGGAGGGAGGGGGGGAACGAATCGTGTATATGGAACTGGATTGCGGCGAGTTAACGATTAAAAGGCCGAATCATATATATACGTCTATATATGTGCGTGTCTCGACTCAGCTGCCCTAAAAGTCATTAGCACAGAAATAGGCGGTTATACTAGCGAGCACTACATTCAGAACGAGAGAAAGACGCACGTGGTTTTGAACATTCTTGTCTGTTGCTTTTAGTACACAGTATAATACAAGTTCACTCATCGCTAATGAATTTCTCTGGAGTGCAGAACGAAAACGCCAACGCAAGCAAACAGCTTTGATTTATAAGTTATATGCGTTTCTTTTCTTTTCTTTTGTACATGTACACCAATGTTCTTCATCCGAAACAACGACAAAGTGGTAATATAAATATTCTATAATTTTAAGTAACATTCAAAAACAGCACAATTTTTAGTGTTGCCATGAAAGAAGGGAGAGAACGCGAATCCATAAGAAAGAACAAATCATCGCGCTTAGTTCACATAGTCTTCTTTTTCTTTCGATTGCGCAAGAAATATCGAATTGGCAAGAACACTTTGAGCATTAGCAGGCATCTTATGTCCTATAAAAAAAAAACATGAATCGGTATACACAAAAAAATAATATCGTGCAAGATAGAAACTACGTCTCTCTATTTATACATATATAAATCGAGATATTGCATTTTTCGTTATCCTATAGGGATTTCGTTTTCTTTTAGTTTTTCTGCGCTCACACTCTTTCTATACATAATATAATATTTATAAATTTCCTCTTTAATATTTATCTATATATCGCGTTAACATCTATATCGGCTCTCGAGTATCAGACTTCGGGGGAGAAATGTATATTAGATGAGCGGAGGTGCAGCCGTCTATGTATATGAAAAGTATAATGCGTATCACGAGAGGGTGGTGCTGGTGGTGGCATTTACGAGTGAGAAAGAAAGAGAAAGAAATGAACGTGAAATATAATTATATGACGATAGAAAGCGAAGAATGATAATGAAAGACACATAAGTACTCGAATGAATAAAATAATATATATACAAAAAAAAAAGCTTTTTTCCCAGTTCTCGAGATATACTTTAGTAAATAAACAAACTTCAATCGCAATATTATTACAGCCAATAATTTAATAATAATATATTTCGTACATGGAAAATAATTAGCTAGCCACCGACACAAAATTCGTTTAATTTTTGTTATAATTGTTCACTATAACATCGTATACAGGAGACCGGGACTATTACTTAATTACTGATTGATTTAAAGTCCCACACACAGTCGTGTTTTCATTATCACACAGTTTTCCGTTCTCCTACTAAAAGAGAACTGATCGTATACGTAAAAACGTTTGGCTAAATAGCTGCAACGCAACAACGTTTTCTCTCCCCCCTTTTTCAAAACTTGGCTAATACGCTTAATCACTAGAGTTTCGGTGATCCTCGCCCGCTGAGGCGGATTCTCCTTCTCCGTATGCGTTTCGTTCGCGCATGTATAATTTACGGCGGGTTTGTGAGAAAGAGAATCTCTCGGAGCGCGTCCAGTCTATCGTGAGATTTCGTGTTTCATCTTCGTGGTTTTTTTTAATTCTTCGAGATTATTCATCCTCCACGCGTTAACGGCGAGGCACGGCAGGCAGAAACTTTTGGCTTCTCTTTCCGCCTTCATATGTGTGCGCACGTGATTGGCTCTTGATATAAAAAAAAAATGGGATTGGCATTCCGCAACGCTCTCCGTATGGCATGCTGTGTGTGCGATGATTTCGCTTGCCTTTTCTTTTTCCGTCGATGGGCGGTACGCGCGATCTTCATGATCATGGAGAACTTCTACTCTTCAAAACAAAAATTTTTTTTTTTTTTTTCTATCGCGCAACAAATCCAGGTATGCATAATGAACAAACGATAAATCAGAGTGGTCATTGCAACACACTGATAACTCGGACCGTGCATAAAGTTTCAACAGTGCAAAATAATTCTCTAAATCCATAATAGTCGACACAAGTAAAATCATCATGAAGATCAAAGATTGCAAGTTATTGTTCGATCGCGCGTAAATGAATAAAGGAGAAAAAGTAAATAAATAAAATGTTGAACACAGAGCAAGAGGCGCGCTCGCACACGCAGCAACGAAGGCGGCTAGGAGGCGGATACGAGTCGAGGAGGTTCACTAATAAAACTGAGCCCTCCAATAAAGCGCTTTCACATGTCGAGCGAATAAGAAGCCAATGGTTGGTGGTTCGTTGATAAATCTTGTTTAATAGTTCTGCTCGCCGTACATGCCGGGAAACCGGACAGCAGCAGCGTGAGCTCCGAGCTCGGCGGGCGAGAATTCGTCCTATGTGGCCAAATGCGCGAATTGGCTCGGGTGCGGAGCAAATTGGTACGGATGTCCGTAGGGCGCCATGTGATACGGCACAATATTCATGCTCGCCATTTTGTGCTCTTTCTTCCATTTCATTCGACGATTCTGGAACCAAATCTTGATTTGGCGCTCGGATAGGCATAATGCGTGGGCTATTTCGATGCGTCGTCGTCGCGTCAGGTAACGATTGAAATGGAATTCCTTTTCCAATTCCAACGTTTGATACCTCGTGTACGATGTCCTCTGACGTTTCGTTTCGCCGTTTGCGTTTACTGTACCTGCAAATAGACAATAAAACACTCATTAGAGCTTATTCACAGAGAGAAATCAATGACGAATCGGACTTGAATAATAATGTTTCGCTACAATGATTTATTCCATTGTCCTTCGATTGTAACTTTAACAATTCGCACCTGTGTGTTCCATAGCGTCATTGAAATACTACAAAAACGTTTCTTAATTAATGGTCTGTCAATAATGGTTAATCCAATGCTAATAAAAACCATTATCACACTTTAATTTGCTTTCGCACCGAGTCTCGAGTGTATCATTTTTTTTTCGCTCGCTCTCAAAAGAATACAAACGCGAGCAATAGCATTGCAATTAAATAAATTGCGTCCCATTAATCACCGAGCATTCTATATCATGCCATTCATTTTAGTCGCACGTACAATATCGCCATCCCGCGTGTCCGCGTGTATGTAACTCGCGAGAGAAAGAGAAACCAGTCTTAGCTTCGCTAATTTTCCAGCCTACGAAAGATTGATGAAATTTCAAACAGCAATTGCCGTGCAGCTAAAAATTGAATGATATTATCTCTCGAAGAACCGAGCGGTTTAATAAATCAAAATGCATCGTTGATAACGCTTCTGAAAGTGAGAAAAAATAAATGTGACTTTTCGCTCGATATAGGTAAACTACCGGTTGTCAACCTTTCATTTCCATATAAAAATTGATGCCGTGTTATACTGCAAACACTGATATTTATAGATCTCGTCAAAGTAGAAGTCGCGGCCAGGTGTAGACGAGCTCACCGGTAATAAATATAAAAGTCGCTGCTCTATGAGCATAAAAGCTTCGCTTACGCGAGGCGCGTAGGTTATAGAAGCCCGTGACGAGCTCGTTAATTATTTCAACGAGTCGTGCTTAACGCCGGAGCGGCTCGCGCTCGGCTTTTATAAAATTTGGCGCTCCTGCGACGGGATATCATATACAGTCTCTTGGTACAGCGGCAGCGCATCCGCCGTAAATAATTTTCAAGGTGCTATTATTATCATCGTCGCCACTGCCGCCGCCGCCGCCGCCGCTGATTCGAGAACGACGTTAACCGACGCGTATCCGTCGAGAGAGACACGATTCTAATTAATTTGCACGAGAGCTCGCGCGATCGCGAACGATAAATCTGGAGCGGTGGCGATTTTGCGATTTTCGACGCAAACGTTCGCGATTCGCTTCGTTGCCCTGCCGATTTATCGAGGTTTACATTGGCTACTGCTACTATCGGTAAAATGGATTTTATTTGCCAAAGGTGCTATATGCTGCTCGTAGCTGTGTGTGTGCGGGTGAGGAAGACTTTTGGATACGCACTGTTTCACATTTATTATATATGCATCTCAATTCGCAACCGCGCGCAAATTGCCAGTTTAACCTCGTTCTCTCGCGCTTATATAGCTTCTGAGTGCGCCGTATAGGTGTTACAAATTTTGTGATGCTTCCATAACTCGTTTGTGGTTCGCGCGAAAGAAACACACTTTAAATTCATTCCGAAATATTGGCTGCAGGGCACAAGCTTGATATTTCATGAATGTTTCATGAGCAACAAGTTTTTGCGTTCTCGCTAAGTTGAAAAAAACCTCACACTTAATTCATCAGAATTATTTTGAACTCTAAACAAACAAGACTCTGATTTCATAATTTTAAAAGATGAGAAACTATCATGAATTGTTTATTCAGAATTATAAAATCTTGAAATAAATGAATACGCTTTGTCTGAAGCAAACAACAATTTTACAATTCCATGGAAAATTGTTCTGCGACGACTTAGAATCCAATAGAAACTTTATCAAAAGCATAATCAATCTCTACTATCTTTTCATTTTTTTGCTACATACCGTACCCTCAATAATTCTCTATATAGGACTTAGAAAAAAACACTCAAACAAGAAAACTTAACGGAACTGTTTAATACGCCTTCAGAACGTACGCGCAATAAATAAAAGCGGCTTATCGACTGTTTGGCGTGAAACAATCGGCCGAAGAGGCCCGGGAGAGCCTTATAAATTATACAAAGGGCAAATCGTTGCCGCAAACGTGCGCTGTGCTTGCGCGAAAGGTTGGCATACAAAGAAAAAAAATGGCGAATGCGAATTGGCCGAGGCCGGTGTTCACACACAACTCTCTCCCTCTTTCGCGGCCTGTGGGTGCGAGGACATTAAAGAGGCGGCTCATTTACAGCAATAATGAATGCACTATTAATAGTCGGTGCGTGGCGCGTGTGCTCAAGACAGAGCTGCACGAATGAGAGATACAATTTCGCCCGAGAGAGAGATGGAAAGCTTTTATGAAAAAAAATAATAATAAAGGAGGAACTGCGTGCTATAAGAGGCAGCAATATTGCTATGAAAATAAAAGACGGTGTGGATAAAACTTACATGTGCTTATCGAGTTGATAGTTTTCTTTTTTTTCCAAGTGATCGACGACTCAAAAAGAAATTAAATTCCGGGAGAAAGAGAGCACATAGAGTTCAGTTTGAAGATGAAAAATAGAAAAGAGAGAGACGAACTGCTACAGACAGACAGATAACTAACTCTCGTCACAAACAGAGAAAGAGAGAGAAAGAATTATATACTTATATATATATATATATATACAGCACATAGTCTGAGACGTAAAAGTAGGGTGCGAGATGTGTGTGTGGGTTGCTTAATGACTGCAAGCGTATATGTATACGAGTGTGTGATGGCGTTATCGCTTTCCTCCCGATGTAGCACGTCGACTACCACGGCCGACTTTTTAATAAATAGTTCTCGCCTGTCTGGACCCTTATTCGACCGACGATTTGCCGAATGCGCGCAAAAAATCTTTCTTTTAGGCTACTGGATTTTTCCGTCGATTCAGCTGGACTTTCGTTTCTCGCGCTATGCTAATTAGATGCGCGATCATCGATGAGTTTCAAAATGAATTAGCGTCAAGGATCGAGAATGACGCGATTGTAGGAGAAAAGTTAGTTAGCGAATTACAACGCGATTATCTATCGAGCTACATCGGAAGCTGATGCCTTTTTTCGGCACAGTACTCGCGGGCAAAAACCACCTCCCTCGCAGTTAAGCTCTCGGACAACGATTCACTATTCCGACTGGGTGATTAATTGTTCGCGTTCCTTGTGCGATCGCTGCTGCTGCACCTACGATACACCACAATGACCTAAACCTAACGGAGATCCTCTTCTCTTGGCTGCATCGATTACTTTCGTATCTTTTCATTTTATTGTTGTTGTTGTTATCTTTCTTTCGCTAGATATTTAATCGTATGGATTCATTCGGACAGATAGGAAAATAAATGAATTCGTCATTCATTAGAACGAGTATATCAAATTTTCAAGTTATTGACCGTTTGACGCGCACGCGAAATATTTCGCAGTTTTCTACAAACGAGTATCCACAAGTCGCTCATCGAGTGATAAATGTATTTTATATCGCAAATTCAAGATACCTGTTAGCTTGTCGAAAGAATGAAAAAAAGACGTGTTATTTTTAAAAACTCCTCGTGCGCGTGCTCGCGACGACCATATATCAAAAGTACCTCTAATCCGAGATAATCAAGAAACATAAGGCAAAACATAATAGCTACTATTATTAATTTTCGCGCGTAGCGTTTCGTAAATCTATTTTTTTACTACTAACTATTCGTAATCCATCACCCGTTGTGTGACTAACTTCGTAACAAAACCTAGAGTGGTAAGCTAAAAATAAACGAAGAAGAAATCTCGATCTTTCGCCAGCGTAGACAACGTCGTTTTATTAATCAACATCCGACATATGTTGTACAATCAAAACTACTTAGCCTCGCGACAACAAAATACGACGTACTCGCTATTATAGAAAACACTCACCTTGGCGTGTCCGTGTACTTGGTACATTGCGCTCGTGAAAAAAAAGTTAGGAGCCGAGTACTTCATTTTTTAATGCGCGAAACTTATAGAGTTAGGATATTCGGCGTTGGATTTTCTACCACACCGGGCCGATGATAAATGAATGTGATGTCGTTCGCTCCCGGCCGGCACTTTGCGTGAGCATCCACTTAAATACGAGCATACATCCTGGGTATACCACTCGTGTAAAACTTTTCATTACAAGCCGGCCGCCTATAAGTGGATATCATCATACCCGGAATCGTGATTATTGGATATCACAGTTACACAAATGGAGCCTTTCTGTACGTGCTGATGTATAATCGCAGTGTTCTCGATTCTGCATCCGTTTACTGCTTGTTTCTTTTTTTTTGGGGGGGGGGGGGGGGGAGCAAATGATTTTAGATATCGTAATTTTTCATCGCGAGAGAGCTTCTGTTAGTGCGGCTTTCACGATGATTAATGACGCGAGCTAATTGCCGCGCGTTTATGCGACGGACAAAGATTTCTTTTCAAATCCAAACAGAGAGAGAGAGAGAAAGAGAGAGAGAGAAAGAAAGAGGGAGTGAGAGAATATACACGTTGTAACGAAATTTGAAGCAGGTACTTGTGCGGAGTTAATAATTATATTTGTCAATAAAAACAAAGCCGACGAGAAGGAAAACACTCTCAATTTCGCAAAAATAATAAAGCCATTATTAGGGATGTAAAAATAGGCGTAAAAAAATAAAAGAAAATCGATATGGTATACATTACGTCCCGGTCAGAGAGAGAAGCCGAAACGTCAGTCAAGTTGCGGCAGTGACAAGTTTGGTACCAGGGAGGCTGAACGTGGAATACAAGCTTCGTTTCTATTAAGAGTTTAAAGGGGGGCAGCAGCAGCAGCAGCACTGACGAGCGCACAACTTTGACACGACGACACGGGCCTGCGCTTAAAGACTATGGAGATTCGAGAAAGAGAGAGAGAGATTCGTCGACAGATATGCGCGCAGCTCAGTTCGGGCTTGTAACGCTATATATATCTACATACCTGCAGCTAGCAAGCTTTTACATTCTTTTGCTCGTTCGTATGCTTTTGTTCGCACGCTGCAACTTTTCCTCGAATGCTTCGTTTTTCTCCGAATATTGAAAGAAAGGATAACGAGTGA